ATTATTATTGTTATTATTAATATTAATATTATTATCATTATTGCAGCGTTATTATTTTTATCATTAAAGGGAGTTATCGCAACATATTTTTATGATATAATTTTTATTATTTGTATTGTTATTATCATTTGCGTTAATATTGTTATCACTAAAGAAAATAATTTTAGCATTTGTCGTGATACAATTTTTATTATTTGCATTTTTATTATTGTCGCATGTATTAATATTGTTATTAATGAAGGACAGTGATTTTGGAATATCTTTTATGATATTGCTAAATTCATCATTAATGTTATCATCATTAAAGTGAACAATTTTAGCATGCCTTTTTATGATATAATTCTTATTATCCACGTTGTGATTATTATTTGTGTCAATGTTATCATTGCTGAGAGTAATTTCAACCCATCTTTTATCATCATTTCTTATTCTTTGCACTATCATTATTATTACCTTCACCAATATTATTATCATTAGAGAAAGTAATTTTAGCATATCTTTTATAATATATCTTCAACTACCATTAATATTATTACCATAAAAATGAATAATTTTGACATACCTTTTATTTTGCAATTTTTGGTTATCACTATTTTTGACTGTCACCAGTTTTGATTATCATTACCATGATCATCGTTCTTATCAAGATTTTTTTTCCAAGCATTGAATAAAATTGTTATTAGTTGAATGAAATTGGGAAAAAATAGTATGGAGAGGAACGTTTACAAATATAAAACTATTCTATTAGAATCCCACCGAGGATTCTTAGCATCGGTAATTCTCGAATGATATACCCCTCCTACGTAGACCATATATGATTACTTAGTAGTTATTTTATAAATTACTATCAAAATGATATTTTAAACAAATAAATTATCACCGATCGTTTATATTTCCTTGTTATCGTTTTTTTATCACTAGGTATTGACTATTTTGATGTTTTGCAGGAAATGTCATTATGATGTTTATCAACGGATGGCAAATGTTAATATGGTGACAGGATGAAAGTAAAAAATAATACGACAAGTTGCAAGTGATGGTTGATATGATTGTCGCCTAAGATACTGGAGTGGTTTTAGCTAAACATGCTCACATATGATCCGGATATGCAGGATAAGCATATCCAGATAAGCATATCCTTCTCGAATAACAATTCGAGAACTACCGATGTTAAGAGTTTTCTACTGAATAACTTTATATTTGGAAGCAGCATTACTGTACTTGACATTTTTATTAATTTTATCCAACAACAACAACTTCACTCAACCAAAACATAAAAAAAAAGGATTGATCTTGATAACAATGATGATTATAATAGTGATAATCAAAAGTTGGTAATAATCAAGAATAGAAATAATAAAAATTGTAAAATAAAAGGTACGCTAAAATTACTTACTTTAATGATAAGAATATTAGTGAGAGTTGTAGCTATATCATTAAAGGTATGCTAAAATTGCATCCTTTGGTGATAACAGTATTGATAAAAGTCATTATAATAATGCAAAAGAAAAAAACAAACTTACTATAAATATCATAAACATTTCCTAAGTTAAAGCTTTTTACGTGTTACGTGCTACGTGTTACGTGTAAAAAAGAATATATAAAGATCATTTAAAGACAGAATTGAGTAATATGAAAAAGATTACTAATAGTACCGATAATGTGGAAAGTCATAGCTACACTAATAAATGAAGAATAACTTCAGAGGAGTACAATTTGACAATACAAAGCAATACTTACTAGAAAATATTCACCGGGGAAAATTCCAGGAAATATTCATCGCGAATATTTTCTGGAATTTTTCCAAAGTGAATATTTTTTTGAATTTCCCATAGAGGATATTTTTTGAAATTTTCCATAGTAAATAATTTTTCGGGATTTTCCGTGCTGGATATTTTCTGGAATTTCTCAAATGAACATTTTCAGGAATTTTCCGTGGTGGATTTTTTCCGGAATTTGCCAGGGAGAATAATTTCTGGAATTTCCCGTAGTGAAAATTTCCTGGAACACTCCATGATGGGTATTTTCTGAAATTCTTTGTGGTGGATATTTCCTGGAATTTCTCGTGGTAGATATTTTTTCGAGAATTTTCCAAATGAATATTTTTTGGAATTTCCTATGGTGAATATTTTCTGAAATTTTTCATAGTGGAAGTTTTTTGGAATTAAATGTTTGACTGTGACGTTTCAATTTTCCAATCTTTTTGATTTTATCGAATGTAACTTCATTTATATCATAGTTTTGATAAATTTATCATTTTTCAATTTAAGATATTTCATTCCCTGTAAAATATTCAATAATTTTTTGCTTTTGAATTGTGATTAAAATTTCTGCAACACAGTAATCTTTCATTTTATGAGTAATTTTGGAAAATAAATTTTACAATTACTTTTAATTTAATTGCTTTTATTATTGTTTCTCTTCTTTCTTTCCTCTTTTTTCCTTCCGCTAATAATCTAAAAATGTTTTAAAGAAGTGTTAATTGTCCAAGTTTGTCACATTGATAGCATTAAATATCACAAGATCTTTCATTTAAAATAGTTTTGAGTTGTTGACAGCAACTCTTTGTCAAATTGCAAAAAAAAAATAATCCTTCGCTAAATCTTGTCAAGTTGCAAAAAAAAAAATTAATGTTCAAATGATTTGAATGTTTCGTCCAAATATTTACACTTTTTATTTCAAATTAACATTACTTACAAGTTTTGCATAATTTTTAACGGATTAACATTGTAATGATACACTTTGGATTATTATTGAAATTCATTTTAGAAAAAATCGATTTATAAATTTCGAATGGAGCATTTTTCACCTAAACATGGAATGTACCCACTAAATTAGCTATCCCAATGTTGTAATAATGAATAAAATAATTAATAATTTGCATTAATTGATTTTTTTTTTGATGATTCCATAATTTTCGAATATTTTATTTTGTTGAAATGACATGAAATGTTGCAATATTGTTTAATATTATTTAAGAAAAAAAAAAAAAAAAGAAGAGAGAGGAGAAAAATAACATTCTCTCGATTACCTTTGCTTACTTTATAATACCAATATTTTGTGGCATTATATTTGCATAAATAGAACCAGCTGGTTGACTGGTATATAAACATATAATTATATATATGTATATACATATATATATATATATATATATATAATATATATATATATATATATATATATATATATATATATATATATATATATATATATATATA